CACCTCTTGCTCCCAGCTCCTCACACTCGCACCACAAACTGAAGTGAGCTCCTTTTAAAACCCAGGTGCCCTGATTAGCCTGCCTTAATTGATTCTAGCAGCTTCTTCTTAATTGTCTCTAGGTGTCCTAATTAGCCTGCCTGCCTTAACTGGTTCTAGCAGGTTCCTGATTCCTCTAGTGCAGCCCCTGCTCTGGTCACTCAGGGAACAGAAAATTACTCATCCAGTGACCAGTATATTCGCCCTCTACCAGACTCCTGTACCCCACTGGTCTGGGTCTGTCACAAAATATATATGTCATCAGCATCTTTAAAGTGGAAATCTTAAGCTATGTAGAAGTGTTGAAATAAATATATATAATAACTTGGCTCCCAGGATAGCACTCAGATCTCACTCTGCCCTAGCTTTTTGGCCACTTATATTCTACCGAGGCGTGTCAATGGTGATGGTGGTGTTACCCTTCCTATCTTTCAGTACGGGCTACTGAACGGAGTATGGGATTGGAAGACAGAGGCTCTTGATTTCTAATCTTAGCTTTGCCACTGACCCCTGTGGCCTTGGAAGTTACTTGAACCCTTCCGCCGGGTGGGAATTCGGCACTAAAAAATTTAAAATTCGATGCATAATATTTTAAAATTCTGCATATCTTATTTGCCAAAATAACACAATATAATCACGTCAGTTTCAATTATTTTTGTAATTTATTGCAAAATATCTGTCAGCATGTACGTCTGTAACAGCAAAAAAGATTCAAGAAATATTTTTTGACAAATAGATTCCTTGCTAGGCATATTATAACAGAACTTTTAGTAGTAATTAATTTAAAGTACAATACAGAACTGCATTTCCTGCACCCCCCAGAAGCAGTGCAAAGGCTGGGGGGAGTTGGAGTAATGGAGAAGTTGAGGGAGAGGGAAGTAATTGCTGTGCCGGAGTCTGGGAGTGAACCTGGAGGGTTGTTGGGTGTGGCTGGGAAAAGTATGGAACCGGGGTTTTTTCCGCAGGGGGGAGGAGGAGGAATTGTTAGGGAATTGGGGAGCCTCCCCCATGCTGACCCCTAGCCTCTCCCATTCAGTCAGGCACATCTGCCACATCCCCATGCACTCCCAATCAGCCACTCCTCTCCCCTCTTTTACTCTGTGACCGTGCACCCCGACTCCTGTTCAGTCCCTGTCACCCCACTAGCTCCTGTGCCCCTACCCCAATCTGTCTCCCCCACACCCTTCTGAACTCCAGTCTATATGACCCCCAGCAGCCCCATGTGCCCTGTGCTGTCCGTCTCTCCCCCCGCAATATCCCTTGCCTCCTCATCTAGCCTCGCGGACAGGGTACCGTGAGGAAAGCAGCCTCTCTTCCTCTCTCTCCATGGCTGGCTGCTCTGGCCCTGAGTCAGCTGCCCTCTTCTGGTGCAACAGCAATCCCTGGTATGTGAAAGGTGTAATTGCAGCACCTCCCCGGCAGAATGTGTTTTCTGAAAAGAAAAAAGAATTTGCTGGGGAACATGAATTCTGTGTGTACACGGTGGCGCAGAATTCCCCCCGGAGTAAAATAAACTCTGTACCCATTTTCTCATCTCTAAAATGAGTATAATACTTGCTACCTGCCATCTGATTTGCGAGGATTAGTTATTATTGGGTACATGTCATAAAGATACCAGATAGTATTAGTAAAGCTGTTCTAACAGAGGAAGCTTTGCATACTAGAGGACTGGTGGCTTTTAGACTCTTCACCCCATAAGAAAAGTGTCTGCATGTGGCATATTTTTCTCTCACTAGAAAGCTCTGCCAACATGCTTGTTCCTGGTACATTCACAAATGTCATATACACATCACCTCTGCGGACACAGCAGTAGGAGACTCCAGGGTCTGTCCTATTTTCCATGTCCATGGGTAACCTCCCTTGGTGGGAGTTGCACGTGTACTGGGGAGAAAATATGCTAAACTCTAAATGGGTGGGGGGGGGGAATCGTGCTCTGTTACACCAACATAAATATATACGAAGTAGCCTCTGTAGAAATCAAATGAAGTTACTCTAGATTCACCCCAGTTGAACTGAGAGCAGAATTTGACCTGTAGAGTTATGTATGTTTATGAGAAAATGCTTTTCTAAGTTTTGTTTTATTGTAATATTTAGAGGCTTTCTGAACCTCTCCCCAGATACATATAAGTGAACCATTTTATACAGTAAGAAATCTCTGAATATTTTCCCCTGTCAATATGCTTAGCATTTTCATTTATAAATGCAACCATTTTCCTAATGTGCAAATGATATTTACCTGTTTATTCTTCTCCCCTTTCTCAATATAGGCTTGATTCCTATACAGATCCCTATTACGATTATGAAATAGAACGGTTCTGGCGTGGTGGGCAATATGAAAACTTTAGGGTGCAATACACAGACCCAGACCCATATCGTAACTACCGAGTAAGTAAGGTAACATGCACCCTCTCCTAAGCTTTGCACTCTCTCTTCCTCCAGGTACTTCACATACGTTTGTTTTCAATTACCATATAGGACGTATGTTGGCATTAGATTTTTTTCCTCTTTTGGCAGACTGTGTAGACGAGTCTTTTCCTTAATCTCTAAAACGATTCAATCATTCATTATTTATTTAAGTTCTGGTAATGTGCAGAGCACTGAACAAGACAAATATACTGGCCCTGGCCTACTGAGTTCACACTCTGTCTTTTAGATAAGGCAGAACTTAGTGGCACAACCCAGCTGAAGGAGTTAGTTTGGTATCCTTTGTCACTTACATCTGGGGGTGGAGAAGGCATTTGACAGATGGGGGTAGTGTTTGGGGGCCTTGCAAAGAAGTGAGTCTAAAGGAGGGATTTGAATGAAGACCAGTCTGCATGAGCATTGTCCGCTGGGACAGAAAGAGACGGATGGATATGGGCGTGTGTATTATGTATGACTCTCACCAGGATGAATGGGTATTTAAGAAACGTAATACCCATTGCTATAATTGGGCGTTGCTTACAGTGGTCACTTTGCATTGAGATGAGGGAGGCAGCAGCTTTGACTGGTCTGCCGCTAGAATCCAGGGGGAATCTCCTTGTTACATTGTTGCACCCGACTTGCTTGTAGAATGAAAGGTCAGAGTGTTTTCATTGAAAACATTCTTATTTCCGTTCCGTATTCCAAAGGCTGTATTGGCCCCTGTTGCCAGGTCACAGACTGCGGTGCCTTGGGACACGTTGGTAGTGAGAACTAATTTTGCCCGACGCTAAGATTTTCAGCTGTATCTGTTATACAAAATAACAGCAATAGCTGGTTTTTTCCCTGTAAACTCAAATAACACTTTTCTAATCTGAACATCACGGAAGTCTTAAAGTGGCCAGTCCTCAGTGCAATTTTTGGTGCTATCTCATCCGATTTTTTTTTTTATTCTGCTCATTTGCAAAATTTAGGAATTGCTGATGGGTCAAAGTAGCAACGTGAGGCAGTGTGATCTTCTACCTAAGATAGGTGAACAGCCACATACACGTTACTTTCTTCTCAAGGGAAGCCTTCTAGATAATGGACCATGTTCATCATTGATGGCTCTGTTGCCTTTAGTGAAGTTAGATGAACCTGATGCTGTGTTTTAGGTCTTTATACAGGTCCTAAGTAATTCTGAAACATTACGGCAAACAAACTCCAATTGTCCCCCTGATGCCCTGCTGTAACTTTGGCGAGCTAGTATAATTGTTTCCAATTTGAGACTTTAAAACCTCACACTTTCGTTAGTGAGGAGATGTAACCATGGAAGTGATGTAAAAGTGTCTTTTTTGTTTGTTTTGTTTATACAAGGAAAGAGAGAGAGAACGGGAAAGGGAAAGAGAGAACCGACAGCGGGAGCGAGAACGGGAACGAGAGAGAGAACGGGAGCGGGAGCGACGACAGAGAGAGAGAGAACGAGAGAGGGAACGGGAGCGTGACAAGGAACGCCAGCGAAGGAAAGAAGAGTGGGAGAGAGAGAGGGAGCGAGTGAAAAGAGATGAAAAGGACAGACAACACAGAGACCGGGACAGAGATCGAGACCGGGACAGAGAGAGGGAACGTGAAAAGGAAAAAGAAAAACCAAAACCTAGGTCACCGCAGCCGCCAAGGTATGTGCTCCTTTATTGATGCTTGGTTTTGTTTGGTACTGTTTTAACTGTGGATTAACCAGAGATGCACCAAACAGGGAAAGGGGATGTATGCTCTTTGGATCTCTATTGTCTGCTGCCCTAAGTAGGAAAAGCAGTAGTTCCAAGGGATGTGCACTAACCATAGGGAGTATGCTTTGCCAGCCAGTAAATGGAGCTAAAGCAACATCAGATTAGAGCTTCAAGGGCATTCACCATTGCAGGCTGTACATAGAGAAGAGAACTTCTGGGTGGAAGTGTTCAAGGTGTCTTTGGTACGTACCTGGGAGGAGTCTAGACTGTATAGAGCTGTGGAGTCCAGAGCCACGGTAACGGAGTTTAATGTGCCTCTCAGAAGTCTAGCTGGCTGAGCACAGGACATGGAAGCATTGACATCGGCTCCTTCTGTGGCCTTGGCAAATGACTCTTGGCAAGAATCCAGGATGGATTGGGCATTTTTAAAAATAACAAAAATATCCAGCGTTCTAGAAGGGGATTGAAAGGCATGTAAAGCCTCAATTTTCAGGGATTAAGCCAATCGCTGTTATGAATTAGGATAAGTTTTCCCGGCGGGGAGGAGGGCTGTTTACTCAGATCTGCCAGTTGCAGGGTTTCTTGCACCTTCCTCTGAAACCTCTAGTGCTAGCCACAGTCAGAGACAGAGTACTAGATCCTGCATGGGAATTCCTATGTTTCTGTTTCCCAATCCGTCAACTACATTACTGCCTACACTAACTCACAAGTGGGTTTGGATTAACTATAAAGCACTATGTAAATATTAGAGCTGATCGGGGGGGGAAATGGAATTTTCATCCCTTGGGAAATTCTGATATTGCAACACCTGTTTTCATCCTATGTCAGGGAAAAAATAAAATATCAAAACCGTTTGCAAAATTAAAAGTTCAATAAAACTTCAATTCAGAAATGTTGAAATATTTGGGAAATGGGTGGGAGATGTAGTCAAGGAGCAAGGCTCATGGGGGAAATGGATGCCTGAGGGACCCAGAGCTGCATCTCTTGCGATGCACTGCGGTCTCTCCCATCTCTCCGGGTGACTGAGCCACAATGGTGCCTCAGTCCTAGAGACTGCAGTGCATCATGGGAGAGTTAGTCCATCTGAGGAGCTGGGCCTCTAGGGGTGAATAGAGACCATGAGTGACCCAGAACTACATCTCCCACGTAGTACTGCTGTGATTCAAGTAGGTGCAGAGATTAATGTCGACCCAACCCAAAATGAAACACTTTTAGGTTTTCCTGATAGAAAATTTTGATGTATTTTTAAATGAAATCCCATTTTCCAACAGGAAAACACTTTATTAAGAATCTTTCTACTATCCCTAATAAATACTAAGTGTTCAAGTGTCTTATCAATATGGTTATATTAATATAAAAAACTGCAGTTAAAACACAGATGTTAGAAGTATTGAATATAAATATGCAGTTTAATTACCTCAGTGGCCACTTGTTCATCTTAGGCTGCTTGTTCACATTCGCGCTAGGTCCGTGATGGCAAAGATCTTGTCATCTATAATTGTTTGACTCATGATGCAAGTTGATTACCTCTCTTCTAAAATGCCAGTGTTGGTCTTGTTTGTCATGACTGATCTAATGACTGTGCCCACGGGCACCGATGTGAGACTACAGGCTGAATGGCGCCATGGAGACTAAACTACCTTCTTTGGTGCTAGAGGTAGTTCTGCCCCAAATCAGGAGGAGGACAGCAAGTAGAAACTTTCACCACTGCTGCCCAAGGACTTGCTGGGGATAACTATGGCACTCTTCACCAACCTTAAATTCAATTAACCGCCTCGTCCTCAAAACCGTTCATGGATCTGAATAGTGGACACTATCACCATAGCAGGAAGCTTAGGCTCATGGTCTTGTGGTACTCTTCTTGATCTTTACACACCTTATGGATTTGATTTTTCCCAGTGAACAACCTCTCGTGGTTCACAGTGATCTGTGAACTACATATTGACTCTCTAAACCAGATAGGTCTGTATCTGATAACTAAAGAAATACAGCAGGGGAAGCTGTGGGTATTCCTGGCCTTATTTTCATCTGGTACAAAGCACACAGATCCAAAGGGTTCCAATAATCTGATTGCTTTTGGCTCAATATCTGCTATTTCTAGGAACTGTTGATTGACAAATCTACTTGTTCAGACCCACTCCTGTCTCAGCCAGTAATTACAAGAAATACATAGATAAAGGTCAAGCAAAGCTTCTACCAGAAGTTATGGGGAAAACCAAACAGGAACTTGTGTTGGCTTCATTTGTAGGTTGGTTTAAAACCAAAACCAAAACCAAATCACCTCCCCAAATGCTAGAAATGAAGTGGTGGTTGTGCTGTTTACATGGTTGCACATAGTCTAGATGTAAAATTTAAGGCTTTAAAAGCTGACTAAACCCTCAAATGAAGGGTGATCACTGTTTTACAAGGTGACGTATTTGGAGTGAAGCAATAGGACTATTTAACAGTAAGCTGGTGGCTGAGAATCTCTCTCTCTTGTTTCCAATGCTCCAATTGAAGACTCCTGCATGTTAGAAGTACTCTTATGTAAGCAGTCAAATCCCCAGTTTCTGCTGTTCGGACTCTACTCTTGAGCCACTAGCTCTGTTACATTTACGAGGGTTTGGGTTTATTGGCAGTAGAAAGAGAGAGGCAGGAAACCAAATAAAATAAAGGAAGCTGAAGTTTAAATCCTAGGGATTGTTTAAACAGGAGATTACTGCTCGGCAAGCCAGTGTGTGACTACAGCACACTAGCTTGCGGTGCAGTAACATCCCACGTGGACATTGCTACAGTGTACTGCTGTTTGCAACACACATTTAAAGTGTGGTTCTAATCTAAAACGTGAGCATATTTATATAAATTTGCTCAATTTACACATTTTTGCCAGCCCTTTAAACTCTACCTGGCGTCTCGTGATACTGCCCCAATAAGAATTCACCAACTCCCTACCTCCATTACATACAAATAACTCAGCGCTATTTGTAGAACTGATTTCTAATTTTACCCTTCTATGAATAAACCATTTACAAAGTTTAATATGTAACATCTTAGCAATTGCTTCATCTTTAACCTGAATGCCTCTCCCTCATAGGGGAAGTTATTCTGTGCTCTTAGTTTATTTATAGACTCTTGTGCTTTCCCTAATGTGTTAAATCACAACCTGTGGGCAATTCCAGCCTCTTTCCTAGTTCTTGGCTGCTGATATTCAGTGCCTCCCTCTGTCACGTGGCTTTTTGATGTTGAAGACTATTGGAGTTCCAGGCTTGTATGAAATTCCTCATGCAGGCAATCATCGGGTAGCCCTCTGGCAGGTGCTGCAGCAGTGAAGCCGGACATTGCATAATAAACAGATTCCCATATCCAGCTGGAACATGAATAATTCTCCTTGGCTCATTAGTGACTAAAGAGCTCTGACAGCCCAGTTCCACAGAGACCATGCCAGAAAGCATGATGTAACTATTGAAATAGTAAGGATCTTTGCCATAGGTGTACCAAGGACAACTATAATTACTAGTAAATGGCATTCAGTGCGTTAACACAGGAGTTTCCCTAAAGGAAGCTAATAGAACAGAAACTATGACCAGCAGAATGTAAGATGGAAATTGAGAGGGATGGAAGAGGATTTGAAGATCAAACAGCCAGAAATGTAAAAACAAATATGACACTTCAAGTATATTGGAGTCTGGTGCAGTTCCCCCCTGGCAGTAAAGGGAGTAGTTGAGAATGGAGATGCTGCTGAGAATCGTTACATCAGTCTTCACCACCAGGGATCGTTATAACCCTTTTTCTAAACCGGAGACTAAAAGCAAATATTGAATGATGTCCTCTTAGAGTCCAAGACACCAGAAGGGGCCATTGTGATCATCCAGTCTGATCTCCTGTACAGCACAGGTCAGAGAACTGCCCCAAAATAATTCCTAGAGCAGAGCAATTAGATGTTTTTCTAAAATTGATTTAAAAGTTGCCACTGATGGAGAATCTGCCATGACCATTGGTAAATTGTTCCAGTGATTAATAATTCCCACCATTAAAATATTTACACCTTATTTCCAGTCTGAATTTGTCTAGCTTCAACTTCCAGCCATTGGATCATGTTATACCTTTCTCTGCTAGATGAAATAACCCATTATTAAAATATTTGTTCCCCATGTAGGTACTTGTAGATTGTAATCAAGACACCCCTTAAGCTTTTCTTTGTTTAGCTAAATAGATAGACTTAAGGAGCTTAATCACTATAAGGCAGGTTTTCTAATGCTTTAATCAGTCTCGTGGCTCTTCTCTGAACCCTCTCCAATTTATCAACATCCTTCTTGAATTGTGGACCCCAGAACTGGACACAGGATTCCAGCAGCAGTCACACCGGTGCCAAATACAGAGGCAAAATAACCTCTCTGCTCCTCCTCAAGATTCCCCTTTTTATGCATCCAAAGATTGCCGTAGCTCTTTTGGCCACAGCGTGTCACTCTGGGACTCGTATTCAGCTGATTATCCACCACAACTCCCAAATCTTTATCAGAGTCACTGCTTCTCAGGATGGAGTCCCCCATCCTGTAAGCATGGCCTGCATTCTCTGTTCCCAGAGGTAGACATTTATGTTTAACTGTATTAAAACATATACTGTTTGATTGAGCCAATCTTACCAAGCAATCCAGATCATGCTGTACCAGTGACCTGTCCTCTTCATTGTTTACCAGTCCTCCAGTTTGTGTTATCTGCAAACTTGAGCAGTGGTGATTTTGTTTTGTTCCAGCTCATTAACATAAATGTTAAATAGCGTAGGGCCAAGAACCTATCCCTGTGGGACCCCAGTAGAAATGCCTATTCAGTAGTGATTCCCCATTTACAATTACATTTTGAGACCAATCAGTTAGCCAACTTTTAATCCATGTAATATGTGTCATGTTCATTTTGTCTTTCTATTTTTTTAATTAAAATGTCATCCACTACCAAGTCAAATGGCTTACAGA